CCAATTAGTTAACTAACTAACTTAACTAACTAAGTAACTAAGTAGCTAACTAACTAGCTAACTAACCGCCTTAACCCTCCCCCCCCCCCCGCCTCCAGCCTCCGCGCGTCAGGTACCCCCGCGCGTCAGGTACTCTTTGAGTGAGGTTACAGGTTAGCTGGGGTACAGCCTGCAACAAACTTGCCTCCGGGAGTCCACCGCGCTGCGCCGGAAGGCCAGTCGATCATCATCGCCGAGGGCGACCCTTTCGACCAAGAGACGGTCGCTTCGCTGGAGCTGGTGTCGGAAGTCGCTGAGTCCGACATGGCCGAGATGACTTCCATGGTCACCGCGGAGTCTGCAACCTTCGAATCCGTGCTTGAGGGGGGGACCAATACCTCCAAGCAGCCACCGACTCCGCCACCGCCGAGATGTGGAACTGCTTCGAAGAGCGCTGTGGGGATTTCCATCGAGATCGGAGATGAGGCTGACCCCACTGCTGCCGGATCGACCGAGAAGCCCCAGGTGAAGGCGATGCCGAGGATCGCAAAGGCCAAAGCGCCGCCAGGCAACGCCGAGGGGGAAACCCCCAACGCAGGAAAAGATCTTCTGGTCAGACTGGGTAAAGACCAGGAAGATCAACACAAAAGTCCCGGCCGAGGAGCAGTGCGAATGGCTCGAGGTCGAGGACATGGGGCACGTTCCCAAGGTGAACTGGGATTACAGGTTGGTGGCCATTTCCAAAAAAGATGTCCTACTTTCTCAGGGGTGGGGCATTCAAGGATGGCAAGCCACACCCACCCTTTTGCGGGTGATGCGCTTGTGAGGCATCTCAATGACCGGATTGCCAATGTCAGGCCGTTTAGGTCATGGTCTGCATCCGGAACAATAACACGAGGCGATTCCGGGTCATGGTGGGCCCACCGCCGGTGGGAGAAGCATCCTGGAAAGGATTGCCGTATCAAGCGTTGAGGGTCAGAGCTGTCCAGGGGCGTCGCAACGAGCTGACAAGGAAGTACGCGGAACAGGCCATTTTGACAAACCTGTACTCCTTCGATGATGAGTTCAATGCCGCGAAATACCTGGGCGGACAGTACCCCCGTGCAGTGCGGCATCCAGAGCAGACCGACTTGTGGCGGCGCGGCTTTACCGCGGTACTTTATCACACATGTGATCTGAGATCCGCGGAGAGCATCATCCAGTATGGGCGGTTACCAGGCGGGTACCCGAAGTCCACAGGCAGGGCCCATGTGTATTTCAACCCGACACCGCCATGGGAGGCCCAGATGCGAAAGCTAGCGGCTGCCAATGGCCACATCTCCGGTTCCAGCACTTGACCGTGGGGATCTTCATCATCGTGGTGAAGAAAAGATCCTCCCAGTCCGGCTCGCTTTGGTAGCGTCGGCGGAGATTGCCCCAGCCGCGCCCTGCCCCTTGTCACCCCGGGAGAGTTCGGGAACTCGTCGAAGCGTTGCAGGCGCGATCTGATACGTCGGTCCTGCTGGCCTTTCGTTCGACTTCCCCTTCCGGGGAGCGAGCTCGTCAAAAGTGGCGATCTCGGTGACAGCGCCGGGCAGCAGCTTGCCATCCTTGGTGCCGTCAATCACCTTCTGCCAACCCCTCCATGCTTTCTCTGGCGTCAGAGTGTTCTCGCTCTTGAAGAAGCTCGGGTTCACGTCCTGCGGTCCGGGCGTGAGCTCCGCCGTCAGCGCCCCGCGGTACCTCTTGCGCAACTCCGGGTAGGCCCGGTTGAAATACAAGAGCTCGTTCTTCCTGGTGTGGAACGCATAGATGATGTACGCGTTCCCCACCCAGTCAGCAGACATGAATGCTTCGTCGCTGGTGAACAACCTGATGCCATCTTGCATCATGAGTTCCGTGTCAAACGCAACCGTGACGGGCCTTCCGGCTCGCGTTCATCGATGGCTATCTCCTCTGCCAAGAGTGTCGATCTGACATGGTGGAATGGACAGATGCAAGGATTGCCATGGAGGTCGTGAGGCTGGAGCACACGGCCGCCCTCCAGAACATGGTGTTCTATCTCGAGGACCTTCAGGGGGGTGGTATGGATCAGATCCAAACACATTCCAAACACCATGCGAAGGAAGGAGACAAGGGGGGAGGAATCTCCGTCGAGGCGTCGCTCAGGAAAACGGCCAAGACCCACCTCACGAAGGCGCAGACGATGGGCTGTACGAGGGTTTCGGATCGGTTGTCAATCGACCCCTTCTATGCCTACAACTGTGCCACCCAGGGGCTGACCCCGGAGAGCTTGGACTTTCTGGGTCGCATTGCCTGGGGGCGGACCCCGGCCGAACAAGGGAAGAGCGCGACAAAGGGGGGTCGCAGAACACAGGGACTAAGCTGGTCTTTATCCCTACCCCCGAGAATCTCGACCCGCATGAGTTGAACGTTTCGACGGAGGCCTACATCGCTCATCACGCGCGGTTCTACACCGTGATGCAGTTCGCTGTGATGCGCGCGTTCAGATTCGTGCCGAACAACCAGGTACCGATCATTATCGGACACAGCGGTCAATACGTCCCGGAAGGGAACGTCGAGCAAATCCTCGGGGTAATGGTGAGTTTCATCAAAGCGTCTTGGAAAAAGTTCGACCCGCAAGGCACGATCAGCGCTGGCAAACTGGAGATCCCTCAGTTCTCCTCTGGCCGCACCAAGACCTACCCCATCGAGGCCAAGAATACCCAGTGGAGCCTACCAGACCAAAGGCAAAGGCAAGACCAAAGGGCAAGGGATACTCCGATTGGCACTCCTGGAACTATGGATGGTCGCATGGGTGGGATAAGTGGCGCCAGGGACCATGCAGATGGTGAGCGCCCGCGTTTAGGATGAACCAATAGCTTTTGTTGCATGAAGCCAGAAAATTTCATAGGTTATGTCATGTTGTATTCCTTTTATCATTTATCCATTGATGTCGCAACATTAGCTGTGCTGTTTTGCACGCCCGGCGGAAGCTGCGGCCGTATTACTATGCACGGCCGCCCCCGCCGATTGTCAGGCTCTTTTCTGCCCAGCGGAAGCTGTGGTCGTGCGATCACCACCGTTATCAATGGCAGAATGAATTCATTTTGTTTCAAACTTCCACACGGATCATCGTGTGTGAAGCCCGACGGAAGTCGTGGTCGGCCGATTCATCATGGCACGCTCCTGCAAAAAGTCAACCTTGTGTCAGCCGCTTTGAGCGCACTGCAGGTGAAGCAACCGTGGATGAATATGCCCAGCCTTGACTTGCCACTCATCGCACTGAGGTCCACCATCTTCAAACTGTCCTGACCTCAGAGAACTTTGCTACAGGCCTGGAGGAATAGTGTACATATAGTACTGTGTTCCCCAACGCTCCTTCGCAAAGCGGGGGGTGTTGATTAGTAGTGGCATACCGTCGTAACATATGGCTCAAGAATAAAAGCAGCCGCCGCCCGTGCTGAATATAGGTAGTTCTCACCTTTCAACAGTTTATTATGTTTACTGTCTATCTATCTATTTGATATATTTGTCTCTCTATCTGTGCATCTCTACATATCTGTTTGTCTATCTATCTATCTATCCATCTATCCATCTATCTAATCTAATCTAATCTACTCTAATCTAATCTAAGCTAATCTAATCTAATCTAATCTAATCTAACCTATCTATCTAATCTAATCTAACCTAATCTAATCTAATCTATCTAATCTATTTATCTGTGTAATCTAGTCTAATCTAATCTAATCTAATCTAGTCTAGTCTAGTCTAGTCTAATCTATTTAATCAATCAATCTATCTATCTATCTATCTGTCTGTCTGTCTGTCTGTCTGTCTCTCTATCTATTTATGTATCTATCTATTTGTCTGCCCAGCTGTTTGTCTATCTATTTATCCATCTACCTGTTTGTTTATCTTGTGCATCTTACACCTTATCTATTTGTCCATTTGTGTTTCTGCCTTCTCTATCTATCACCCATCTGTCTAATCCATATATCTATTTATCTATCTGTATAACCATCCAGCTATCTTCTGATCGAGCTGTTTCTCTACTTGTCTGGTTTGTCTATCGATCTTACCTGTCTTTCTTCCCAGCTATTTATCTAGTTGTCTGATCACTTTTCTATCCATCTGTTTGTCCATCTATCTATCTATCTATCTATCTATCTATCTAATCTAATCCAATCCAATCCAATCCAATCTAATCTAGTCTATCTATCTATCAATCTAATCTCATCTAACCTAATCTAATCTAATCCAATCTATCTATCTATCCATCCATCTATCTATCTATCTATTTCTTATGACTTTAACGCTTAGAAGTTGCGATTTTCGACCGAGCCGCATCTGGCAGCTGGAACAGCGCACTCCGCATATTACTTTCGTTCTTGAGGTTGCGGTTGTGAGCTGCAGCTATAAACAAAGCGTGCTTTGCATACTACTGCTGCGCACTCTTGCAAGCTTATTTCTCCCTTCTTCTTCCTTAACCAGGGCACGGGCTGTGAGGGCGTGAGCAGCGTGTAACCTTGGTGATAATTTGAGCTCACCCCGCGCTTGGAGCGGGATAATATAGAGATGGGAATGCATTAGGTACCTAAATGCAGTCCAAGGCCATTTGTTCAGGTCACAACGTCGGAGTGAGATCAGCCAACTGCGTAGATAAAGCTCCCTCAAAGCGAAAACCGTGGCTTTTCACAACAGCAGGAAATCGTCCAGTGGCAGAATGCACTAGAAAAACCAGTCGCAAAAGAGCAGCATGATTCAACACATGCATGAACTGTGGTCTACCGTCTACCGGTACTCTCTCTTTTGTAGGGTCAGCAGGCAGCGCGATACTCGCCTTTTATCAAGCGCTACAGCCTTTCGCATTGCTACCTCAGCCTCTTCTTGACTTTCTTGCTTTCAGACTCAGCGTGGTTGACTCTCAATTTGATTTGCCGATGACGATTGTTGCGCCGAGCCGGTTTTGCCATCATTTTTATCTGTGATGTTTCCATGGCATGGGAAATGTTTTTTGCGCGGGCAATGCTGGCAAGGAGCACTTTGCCGGTGACATTTGGTGGCATGGCAGCAGCAGTGAAGGGAAGTGTGAGGCGGTTAGATGTGCAGCCAACCACAAAGCCAGGAAGAGGGCACCGTGCCGGTGCGTAGATGGTTATGAGGGCAAATTCAACAGCACAGTGACCTTTGGCCGTCGCCGTTATACTTCGCCAGAGCTACGAGGGCGCTGCAGCAAAGCGCAGTGCACTGTTCCGAATTCCACTTTCGTCGCTGGCAGAAGCTGCCGTTGCCAAGACGGGTACAAAGGCCGCATCAGGTGGGAGGGCTCTCAGGCCTCGGGTTCATGCTCCCAAGCGCCATGCAACCTGCCAAACACAAACATGGCCGCCGGAATTGCCTGCAGATGCAAAGATGGATATGAGGGCATGGTCACGTGGAACGGGCCAACGCCAACGGCCAACTGCAGACCTGTGGAGTGCACCATTGCCAACTCTGACCTTGTACCAGGCCCTTCGTGCAAATGCAACACCGGCTGGGTTGGCAAGATTGTGTGGCGTGAGACCTCCGCATTCGGAACATGTGTGTTAGCGCCAGCTTGCTCTCAGGATGTGGTGTTCATGATGATCCCAGAGCTGGCAGACAAGAATCGCAGCCGGTTTGCTCAGCGACAACTGTTTGCTGGTTTTAGATGTGCTGGCACCACCAAACTGAAGTGGTCAGCAGCCCCTGTCCCTAGCCTCAGCCCGGCAGCTGGTGTGCATTGTGACAACCTTGATCACTCCTCAACCCCATTGCCGAGCTTTCTGCCAAAACACTGCGTCAAAGTCCAGGCAGACAATCTGCGATGCGCTCCATACATGCGCTATGCCACTACAACCAAGGAGGCGAACATCACATGCAACCATGGAAGACTAGGGGATGTGTTTCATCTGGAATTTCAAGGGCGCATATGTGGCTACGATCGCATCCAATGGGATGTGGTGGCTGTCAGAAGCATGAGTCTATCAGGTTCTGGTGTAGATGTGCTTTGCCAACGCAATTTGTCGGTTGGTTGTGGGACTGCTCCCCATCCTGGAGTTCCGACGGTATGTTACTGGTATTCTCAAGATGCAGTTTTTCGGAGTCAGTCCCAAAAGGTCGACCTGAGACTTGCTAGTGACGGCTGGTTTTACTTGGAAGGTGAGGGGATTCCAGCAGAAATGCAGCAACGAACGGAACATGTAGTCAAGAGTTGGCATTATTCCGGGGAGTATTTCTTGCTCGTGTGGTCTTTCCACACTTCAATGCTGGCGCCCATCACTATGGCCCTGCGCGTGGACAGGACAGACACTGAGTTGGAACTGAGCACGTTTGATGACGTGACATTCAGAATGACTGCGCCCTGCCCACAGTGGCTAAGCAACGCCTATCAAGCTCAGCAGCAGAGTATGGACCCAGCCATATTCGCTGTGGAGGCCTTGTTTGGATGCAATTTCTCCTCATCAATTGGCTCGACCAGGTACAATATTACGATTGGGCAGGTAATCAATGTTGCAGTAGCAGATTCCCACCTGTGCATCAAGCACAGCCCTGGATGCATGACTGGCACCGAATATTGGTTCAGATCCTCGGGGCCTTCTGAGTCCCTATCAGGGATCGGCATTCAGCGATACAGATCCAAGCACAGGGACGCACAGTGCCATGTTGCTGCGTTCAGCGAGATGTCTCTTGAAGTCTGGCACCTGAGCGGGCAGGACAAGCCCGACTGCGCTGCTATGAGCCTTCCCTGCCGTCACTTATTGCGATGCACAGTGGATGTGGGCAAGTTCCTGCAGATCTGCGGCACAGATTACAGGGATTTGTGGCATCATCACATATGGAAAGCGGCTGTAGGGACTGATGTCGAAGAGTGAAGGCCGTGTTTCACCCGAAAGCATCGCGCTCTACGCTTGCAAGAGCCTTGCCCAACTCTGCAATCTGGGCGGACAGCGCTCATTTGTAGTCGGAGCCGTCCGCGACAGGGCAGTGAAGCGGGTGTCATGTGAGCATGTTGAGTTTGCCAGCATCCATTTGAGCGCGTGTCATTTCAGCATGTTGAGTTTGTGAGCATCCAGTTGAGCGAGCGTCATGTGAGCATGTTGAGTTTGTGAGCATCCAGTTGAGCGAGTGTCATTTGAGCATGTCGAGTTTGTGAGCATCCAGTTAACGTGTGTCATGTGAGCATGTTGAGTTTGCGAGCATCCAGTTGAGCGAGTGTTGTGAGCATGTTGAGTTTGCTTGCATCCAGTTGAGCGAGTGTCATTTGAGCATGTTGAGTTTGTGAGCATTCATTTGAGCGAGCATGTTGAGGTCGCGATCATCCAGCTGAGCGAGTGTCATGTGAGCATGTTGAGTTTGCTGGCATCCAGTTGAGCGAGTGTCATGTGAGCATGTTGAGTTTTGCGAGCATTCAGTTGAGCGAGTGTCATTTGAGCATGTTGAGTTTGCGAGCATCCAGTTAAGCGAGTGTCATTTCAGCATGTTGAGTTTGTGAGCATCCAGTTGAGCGAGCGTCATGTGAGCATGTTGAGTTTGTGAGCATCCAGTTGAGCGAGTGTCATTTGAGCATGTCGAGTTTGTGAGCATCCAGTTAACGTGTGTCATGTGAGCATGTTGAGTTTGCGAGCATCCAGTTGAGCGAGTGTTGTGAGCATGTTGAGTTTGCTTGCATCCAGTTGAGCGAGTGTCATTTGAGCATGTTGAGTTTGTGAGCATTCATTTGAGCGAGCATGTTGAGGTCGCGATCATCCAGCTGAGCGAGTGTCATGTAAGCATGTTGAGTTTGCTGGCATCCAGTTGAGCGAGTGTCATGTGAGCATGTTGAGTTTTGCGAGCATTCAGTTGAGCGAGTGTCATTTGAGCATGTTGAGTTTGCGAGCATCCAGTTGAGCGAGTGTCATTTGAGCATGTTGAGTTTGCGAGCAGCCAGTTGAGCGAGTGTCATGTGAGCATGTTGAGTTTGGGAGCATCCAGTTGAGCGAGTGTCATGTGAGCACGTTGATATTGCCAGCATCCAGTTGAGCGCGTGTCATGTGAGCATGTTGAGTTTGCCAGCATCCAGCATGTTGAGTTTGCGAGCATCCAGTTAAGCGAGTCTCATGTGAGAATGTTGAGGTTGCGAGCATCCAGTTGAGCGAGTGTCATTTGAGCATGTTGAGTTTGTGAGCATCGAGTTGAGCGAGTGTTATTCGAGCATGTTGAGTTTGCGAGCACCTAGTTGAGCGAGTGTCATGTGAGCATGTTGAGTTTTGCGAGCATTCAGTTGAGCGAGTGTCATTTGAGCATCTTGAGTTTGTGAGCATCCAGTTGAGCGAGCGTCATGTGAGCATGTTGAGTCTGCCAGCATTCAGCATGTTGAGTTTGTGAGCATCCAGTTGAGCGAGTGTCATTTCAGCATATTAAGTTTATAAACATCCAGTTGAGCGAGTGTCATGTGAGCATGTTGTGTTTGTGAGCATCCAGTTGAGCGAGTGTCATGTGAGCATGTTGAGTTTGTGAGCATCCAGTTGAGCGAGTGTCATTTGAGCATGTTGAGTTTGTGAGCATCCAGTTGAGCGAGCATCATGTGAGCATGTTGAGTTTGCGAGCATCCAGTTGAGCGAGTGTCATGTGAGCATGTTGAGTTTGCTTGCATCCAGTTGAGCGAGTGTTATTTGAGCATGTTGAGTTTGCGAACATCCAGATGAGCGAGTGTCAATTGAGCAGGTTGCGTTTGCAAGCATCAGTTTTGCGTGTGTCGAGCCAGTGTCATGTGAGCATGTTGCGTTTGCGAGCATCCAGTTGGGCGAGTGTCATTTGAGCATGTTGAGTTTACGAGCATCCAGTTGATCGAGTGTCATTTGAGCATGTTGACTTTGCGAGCATCCAGTTGAGCCAGTGTTATGTCAGCATATCGAATGTGCGAGCATCCAGTTGAGCGAGTGTCGTTGAGCGAGTGTCATTTGAGCATGTTGAGTTTGCAAGCATCCAGTTCAGTGAGTGTCATTTGAGCATGTTGAGTTTGCGAGCATCCAGTTGAGCGAGTGTGAGTTTGCGAGCTTCCAGATGAGCGAGTGTCATGTGAGAACGGCGAGTTTGCGACCATGCAGTTGAGCGAGTGTTGTGTGAGCATGTTGAGTTTGCGAGCATTCAGTTGAGCGAGTGTCATTTGAGCATGTTGACTTTGCGAGCATCCAGTTGAGCGAGTGTCATGTGAGCATGTTGAGTTTGTGAGCATCCAGTTGAGCGAGTGTTATTTGAGAATGTTGAGTTTGCGAGCATCCAGTTGAGCGCGTGTCATTTGAGCATGTTGAGTTTGCGAGCATCCCGTTAAGCGAGTGTCATTTGTGCATGTTGAGTTTGCAAGCATCCAGTTGAGCGAGTGTTATGTGGGCATGTCGAGTTTGCGAGCATCCAGTTGAGCGAGCGTGAGCACGCGAGCACCCAGTTGAGCCAGTGTCATTTCAGCATGTCGAATGTGCGAGCATCCAGTTGAGCGAGTGTAATTTGAGCATGTTGAGTTTGCGAGCATCCAGTTGAGCGAGTGTCATTTGAGCATGTTCAGTTTGCGATCATTTAGTTAAGCGAGTGTCATGTGAGCATGTTGAGTTTGTGAGCATCCAGTCATGAGTTTACCAGCATCCAGTTGAGCGAGTGTCATTGGAGCATGTTGCGTTTGCGATGCGTTTGCGAGCTTCCAGTTGAGCGAGTGTTATGTGAGCATGTTGAGTTGGCGAGCACCCAGTTGAGCGAGTGTTATTTGAGCATGTTGCGTTTGCGAGCATCCAGTTGATCGAGTGTCAATGTGAGCAGGTTGAGTTTGCGAGTATGCAGTTAAGCGAGTGTCATGTGAGCGTTTTGATAGTGTGCGAGCATCCAGTTGGGCGGGTGTCGTTTGAGCATGTTGATTTTGCGAGCATGCAGTTGAGCGAGTGTCATTTGATCATGTTGAGTTTGCGAGCATCCAGTTGAGCGAGTGTCATGTGAGCATTTTCAGTTTGTGAGCATCCAGTGTCATTTGAGCATGTTGAGTTTGCGAGCATCCAGTTGAGTGAGTGTTATTTGAGCATGTTGAGTTTGTAAGCATCCAGTGGAGGAGGGTGATTTGAGCATGTTGAGCTTGCGAGCATCCAGTTGAGCGAGCAACGAGCATCCAGCTGGGCGAGTGTGAATTGAGCATGCTGACTTTGCGAGTACCATTTGAGCGAGTGTCATTTGAGCATGTTGAGTTTGCGAGCATCCATTGAGCGAGTGTCATGTGAGCATGTTGAGTGAGTGTTATGTGAGCATCTCGAGCTTGCAAAGTTTGCGGGCATCCAGTTGAGCGAGTGTCATTTGAGCATGCTGAGTTTGCGAGCATCCAGTTGCGTGAGTTTCATTTGAGCATGTTGCGTTTGCTAGCCTCGAGTTGAGCGAGGGTCATTCAGCATCTTGAGTTTACGAGCATCAGATGACACTCTCGCAAACTCAACATGCTTAAATGACACTCGCTTAACTGGATGCTCGCACACTCAACATGCTCAGATGACAATCGCTCAACTGCATGCTCGAAATCTCAACATGTTTACATGACACTCCGCTAACTGGATGCGTCACAAACTCTATATGCTCAAATGACACTCGTTAAATTGTATGCTCGCAATTGCAACATGCTCAAATGACGCTCAACTGGGTGCTAGGAAACTCAACATGCTCAAATAACACTCGCTCAACTGGATGCTCGCACACTCAGAATGCTCACATGACGCTCTCTCAACTCAGAAACGACACTCGCTCAACTGGATGCTCGCAAACTCAACATGCGTAAATGACACTCGCTGAACTGGATGCTGGCAAACACGACATGCTTACATAACACTCGCTCAACTGGATGCTCGCAAACGCAACCTGCTCAAATGACACTCGCTCAACTGGATGCTCGCAAACTCAACATGCTCAAGTAACACTCGCTCAACTGGATGCTCGCCAACTCAACATGCTGACATGACACTCGCTCAACTGGATGCTCGCAGACTCAACATGCTCACACGCCACTCGCTGAACTGGATGCTCGCAATCTCAGCATGCTCAAATGACACTCGCTCAACTGGATGCTTGCAAACTCAACATGCTCACATGTCCCTCGCTTAACTGGATGCTCGCACACTCGACATGCTCACATGACACTCGCTCAACTTGATGCTTGCACACTCAAGACGCTCAAATAACACTTGCTCAGTTGGATTTTTGGAAACTCAACATGCTCAATCGACACACACCCAACTGGACGAGCATACAGTTCGTGTGATCATGTTCAGTTTGCAGTTATCCGGTTAAACGAGCGTCATTTGATCATGTTGCAGCATCCAGTTGAGCGCGTGTCATGTGAGCATGTTGAGTGTGCGAGCATCCAGTTGAGCGGGTGTCATGTGAGCATGTTGAGTTTGTGAGTATCCAGTGGAGCGAGGGTAATTTCAACATGTTGCGTTTGCACGCATCCAGTCGAGCGAGTGTCATTTGAGTATGTTGAGTTTGCGAGCATCCAGTTCAGCGAGTGTCAGCATGCTCAAATGACACTCGCTCAACTGGATGCTTGCAAACTCAACATGCTCACATGTCCCTCGCTTAACTGGATGCTCGCACACTCGACATGCTCACATGACACTCGCTCAACTTGATGCTTGCACACTCAAGACGCTCAAATAACACTTGCTCAATTGGATTTTTGGAAACTCAACATGCTCAATCGACACACACCCAACTGGACGAGCATACAGTTCGTGTGATCATGTTGAGTTTGCAGTTATCCGGTTAAACGAGCGTCATTTGATCATGTTGCAGCATCCAGTTGAGCGCGTGTCATGTGAGCATGCTGAGTGTGCGAGCATCCAGTTGAGCGGGTGTCATGTGAGCATGTTGAGTTTGTGAGTATCCAGTGGAGCGAGGGTAATTTCAACATGTTGCGTTTGCACGCATCCAGTCGAGCGAGTGTCGTTTGAGTATGTTGAGTTTGCGATCATCCAGTGGAGCGAGTGTCATGTGAGCATGTTGAGTTTGCGAGCATTCAGTTGAGCGAGTGTCATTTGAGCATGCTGAACTTGCGAGCAACCATTTGAGCAAACATTATTTGAGCATGTTGCGTTTGCGCGCATCCAGTCGAGCGAGTGCCATTTGAGCATGTTGAGTTTCCGAGCATCCAGTTGAGCGTCATTTGAGCATGTTGCAATTGCGAGCATCCAGTTGAGCGAGTGTTGTTTGAGCATTTTGAGTTTGCGAGCATCCAGTTGTGCGAGGCTCATGTAAGCATGCTGTGTTTGCGAGCTTCCAGTTGAGCGAGTGTCATTTGAGCATGTCGAGTTTGCGAGCATCCAGTTGAGCCAGTGTCATGTCAGCATGTCGAGTTTGCGAGCATCCAGTTGAGCGAGTGTCAATTGAGCATGTCGAGTTTGCGAGCATCCAGTTGAGCGAGTGTCATGTGAGCATGTCGAGTTTGCCAGCATCCAGTTGAGCGAGGATCATTTGAGCATGTTGAGTTTGCAAGCATCCAATTCAGCGAGTGTCATTAAAACATGTTGAGATTGCCAGCATCCAGTTGAGCGCGTGTCATATGAGCATCTTGAGTTTGCACAGTTTGCGAGCATTTAGTTGAGCGAGTGTCATGTGAGCATGTTGAGTTTGCCAGCATCCAGTTCAGCGAGTGTCATTAAAACATGTTGAGATTGCCAGCATCCAGTTTAGCGCGTGTCATGTGAGCATCTTGAGTTTGCACAGTTTGCGAGCATTCAGTTGAGCGAGTGTCATGTGAGCATGTTGAGTTTGCCAGCATCCAGTTGGGCGAGTGGCATTTGAGCATGTTGAGTTTGCGAGTATCCAGTTGAGCGAGTGCTATTTGAGCATGTTGAGTTTGCGAGCATCCAGTTGAGCGAGTGTCATTTGAGCATGTTGCGTTTGCGAGCATGCAGTTGAGCGAGTGTCATTTGAGCATGTCGAGTTTGCGAGCATCCAGTTGAGCATGTTGAGCGAGGGTCATGTGAGCCCAGGCGAGCATGTTGAGTTTGCGAGCATGCAGTTGAGCGAGTGTCATTTGAGCATGTTACAGTGTTATTTGAGCTTGTCGAGTTCGCGAGCATCCAGCTGAGCCAGTGTCAGGTGAGAATGTTGAATGTGCGAGCATGCAGTTGAGTGAGTCTCATGTGAGCATGTTGAGTTTGCAAGCATGCAGTTGAGCGAGCGTCATGTGGGTCCATGTGAGCATGATGAGTGTGCGATCATCCAGCTGAGCGAGTAGCATTTGAGCATGTTGAATTTGCGAGCATCCAGTTGAGCGAGTGTCATTTGAGCATGTTGAGTTTGCGAGCATTCAGTTGAGCGAGTGTCATGTGAGAATGGCGAGTTTGCGATCATGCAGTTGAGCGAGTGTTGGGTGAGCATGTTGAGTTTGCGAGCATCCCTTTTGTTCCCGGGTGTCACGTGAGGATGCAAAGTTTGCGAGCATCCAGTTGAGCGAGTGTCATTTGAGCATGTTGAGTTTTCGAGCATTCAGTGGAGTGAGCGTCATGTAAGCACATTGAGCTTGCGAGCATCCAGCTGAGCTAGTGTCTTGTGAGCATATTGAGTTTGCCAGCATCCAGTTGAGCCAGTGTCATGTGAGCATGTTGAGTTTGCCAGCATCCAGTTGGGCGAGTGTCATTTGAGCATGTTGAGTTTGCGAGCATCCAGTTGAGCGAGTGTTATTTGAGCATTTTGAGTTTGCGAGCATCCAGTTGTGCGAGGCTCATGTAAGCATGTTGTGTTTGCGAGCTTCCAGTTGAGCGAGTGTAAGGTGAGCATGTCGAGTTTGCGAGCATCCAGCTGAGCGAGTGTCATTTGAGCATGTTGAGTGTGCGAGCATCCAGTTGAGCGAGTGTCATGTGAGCATGTCGAGTTTGCAAGCATCCAGTTGAGCGAGTGTCATGTGAGAATGTTGAGTGTGCGAGAATCCAGTTGAGCGAGTGCCATGTGAGCATGTTGAGTGTGCGAGCATCCAGTTGAGCGAGTATCATTTGAGCATGGTGAATTTGCGAGCATCCAGTTGAGCGAGTGTCATTTGAGCATGTTGAGTTTGCCAGCATTCAGTTGAGCGAGTGTCATTGGAGCATGTTGAGCTTGTGAGCACCCAGTTAAGAGAGTGTTATTTGAGCATGTTAATGTTGCCAGCATCCAGTTGAGCGAGTGTGATGTGCGCATGCTGAGTTTGCGTGTGCGAGTCAGCATGTTAAGTTGGCAGGCATCCAGTTGAACGAGTGTCATGAGAGCATGTTGAGTTTGCGGCATCCAGTTGATCTATGTACTGTTTTTTTTTGAGTGCTTTGTTGCATTTTTGCTTTGGGCTGCAGTCAATGTGCAATGATTCTCACATTCTTGGTGGATCAGGCGTCACATATTGAGGTCCGTTGCATTGAAGCAGGCTCTTCAATGTTGCTGCATTGCCAACGGGTCGGGTAGCAAAACGTGCAAAATAGCAGATGCTGCACCTGCACCGGAGCACGGGAAAGGAGAGCTGTTTGCTTGTTCGGCATGGTACTGCCCTGCCTGCTCATCTGCAACACATAGCTTTTGGATCCATCCGCTTCGCGTTCGGTCCCTGTGTGTCTCGTCGTCAGCATCGTGCAAGGGCAGGGGCTCGCCTGTGCATTCGCTAAAGCGGTCGTTTGTGCACTCGGATTTTGGTCGTGCGTGCGCTCGCTTTGCAGCGAAGCGGTCGTCTCGCTGAGCGAAACAAACGTAGTACGTTCCAGCAACGCGCAGCATCGCGCAGCGGTCATTTGTGCAGTCGTCGTCTGCGCGCTGGAGCAGGTGAGTGCGCAGATGACTGGAAATCTATCTGAGTGCGCAGATGAGCCTGGCGCCACGGTGAGTGCGCAGATGACCGGAATCTGAGTCCCTGCCCTTGCGCAACATTGCATTTCGGTGAATTGCTGAGGCTTGGCTTCTAGCATGTTCGTTTTGCCATTGAGCTTGCAACATGTGTTGCAGTTGAGTTGACTTACCTGGTCCTGATTATTTTCATCGCGTGTGTTCCTTGCATTTTTTCAAGTCATGGTTTCTTCCACAGCCAGAATGCGGCCATGCTGGAGCAACAATTTGCAACAATGACGTGACATGAGCCTTTTTCTGTGGGAAAAGCGGGCACCAAAAAAGAGCTCAACCAGCTTCCGGTTTTCGCAGTGAAGCGATGCGGGGTCTTTGGAGAGAATTCCTTTCACATGCCAAACGTCTTCACTTAAGTGGCGTGCCGCCAGAGTGAAATCAACTCATTCAAAGCGAAAACACACATCCGGACGTTTTTGGAGCACACATTCTTGAAACACAGTGCATTACAGTGCATGTTTAAACATGTGGCAACCCTGCCTGCCCGGCAATGCCATCGGTGCTAAGCTGGGGGCTTGCAGTCGCAGATCGTCACCTTCTTGCCTGCGCGGGGTGAAAAGGTGAGGTAAGAGTCAATTGGTTTTTGGTGGCAGTGAGATGGGAAGATACCCTCACGGCCAATAACACCTGGGCGGCGTGTTGTCCAGTGTTTCCGGATGACAGGCCCACAACAAGCTTCGACTGGCGTGTCAAACAAAAAGGCGATTTCAAAGATGTATGCAAGTTGTACCAGGTTTTTTGTCCAAGTACAATGGCCGCAACCTGTTTTGGCCCAAATTATCAGTAGCATGCGCAACGCCAAAGGCTGGCGTTGAGGCTGGACAGTCGTCACCGGCCACATGCTCGGGGCATAGCACCAGATGTGATAGTATAGCCTTGGAAAGGCGATGCGGAAACGGACTATACCTGGTCGCCCTAAGCCTTTACCTCGGTGGAATTGCTTGTTGCTCGCCATTTTGGCAGCGTCTCAGGAGCGACACTGAAGAGCCTATGCAGGCAGCGGTGTGATGGGAGACCAGGAGAACAGGAGACAGACGGCAAAGAAAGGGGACGAGAGTCAGAAGAGACGACAAATGCCTTGAATTTATCAGACTTGTTTGAGCTCAGGTCGGCCTTGTTCCAGGAGATGCCCCCATCGGGGCGCACCAACAGGCAGGATGACTTGTGACGAATTCTGCAGGGGTTGGAGTGGAGTGGAGGGACGTCAGGAGGAAACTCCTATGACCCCCACAGCGGAATCGACTCGCCTGGGACCATGGTGCATTTCGTGCACCATTTCTCTCCTTTGAAACAGGTTCTTAGAGCAGTGCAGTGTTTCAGTGAATGTTCTTATCTCCAATTCAGGCTATATACACATGTGTCTCCCGTTGTGCTGTGTGCGTACCGTGCTGAGAGCAGCGCACACTTTAGCGGCACACTTTCAACCAAGGAGTGAGAAACTCAACATTTCCGGCTCCTTCTACTCCGGAAACTCTGACGTGGAGCGCTGTGAAATATGGATCCAGCTGGTATACTTGAATGACAAATGGTCCTGCGATCAGGTTGCAGCCCGCTCCTTGCCGTGCCTGGCCAGTTCGAAATGCTTCTCAAGGAGGCATGCCGGCGGAGGAGGAGTGGGATTCGTGAGGCCTCCTTCATGCCCTTTGGGTGACCCTCCCTTTGGCCTCCTTAGCTGTGAGCAGTGACTGTGGCTATACTGCTTTACCCCATAAAGTCTCTCAACGTCAACTGATTTTTTTTTGGGATGTCTGTGCAGAGTTGTCTTGCAGGCTCTTTGGCCATGTCGTTGCGGTTGTCTTGCGTGATGTCTTCAGGGCTGATTTCGGAAGGTGTCTTGGCGTAATGCCTCAGGAAGATGGCTTTGGGGGCGCCTGCGCGAGCTTGTCTTTGGGCGGAGGTGTCTTTAGGCGGTTGTCTTGGGTGATGTCTTTGGGGATAAGTTTAGGATGTCTTTGGAAGGGGGGTGACGGCTTTATGTAGGGGTTGTGTTTGGAGATCTCAACGTGCATGACGTGAGAAGCAAGTTGTGAGGAGACTGAGATGCAGAAGATATTTGGTGGAGAGGCCGCAAGCACTGTGCAATGAGGGACTCAGCTTGTGTTGGGTGTGCTCATTTGCTTTCTGCGATGCGGTTGCGCGTGTCCGCACAGGCACGATTTGACGGATCGAACAGGCGGCGGCACTCGGACAACAAGCTGCACATGCAAATAGTGCAGCAAAATCAAAGCTGAGGCACCACACCTCTGGTGGCTTGCCCAGAGCAAGTTTTACTCGGTCAGTTTCGCATTCCATACTCTAGCTGCAGCTGCAGCTGCACAGCAGGTCGCAACAGGCGACGCGCTGTGCTCAGGTGATGTGCCCCATGCTGACCACAATCGCCCATTGAGCTCCATCAGCACCAGTGCTGCTATCATGATTCGCCGATTCGCTGATTTGCTGATATGGTGCATCTTTTCAGTTGGCTCTGACCTCAGACGGCCAATTCGCTTGCCAGGTGCTGGGCCAACCCCCAGCCCCATTCTCAGTTGCCCGGTCGCTGGGACTTTGGCGTATCGAAAAGCTCTCAGGCCCGGATGGCCGGACAAGTCCAAACTTCACGCCTGCCGGGGCACTGACTCATTTCAATTCCATTGCTTGGGCTGCGCTGACACTCTTTTCTTTTTCAAAGATGCAGCTTGAATTGCATGAGGTTCCTGAAAACAAGGCCAGGGCGCAGAATGTTTCGCCCATGCGAGAGCACAGGGGTGCTGCATTTGCTGACACTAGGCAAACCAAGCGCAGCACCGGAAAGTCTTCGTGGGGGGAATTCCCCAGGACGGCATTCCAGGGAGTGCCACGTGGTGTAACACGTGATGTAGCTACAAACTGTGCCAGGACATGACTCAGGAGGAGCTCCAAAGGGTTGTGAGTCATGCGGTGCCAATCTCAGTCTTGACTCGACCGCGCGTGTTTTTCAATGTTCCTGGCAGCGAGCGAACGCCTTGTAGATGTATAGAGCTGACCCAGCCCCGGTGCAGGCTGACAACGCACCGGTCAAAAAGGCTTGGCTGCAGCGCCGGGCCCAGCATTGTCACCTTGCGTACATACCTTTTTTGGATGGGCCCTTGTGGTCACAAAGGCGATAGAGAACCGCCTTTTCGGGTTCACATCAAACTCGAACCTTGCGCTTGCGTGCTGTAAGTGCTGTCCAGCGCTTGGCAACGAAGGAAGTACAGAGAGCAACCAAAGACGAAGTCGCAGACCTCGCACAACCATCGTGGCTGGGCACCTAGAATTTTGCGCAGCCTTTGTGTAGCCTGGCTCCGCGACATTGTCCAAGGTTTTGGCTTTGTGATTTTCCATGACAGCTCTGCGATCACTCGCTTGTTGGGTTGCATTCTCAGCTGGGCCAATGATGTGCTCGGGAGTGGCGATAGTGCATGATACACGGTCGAACGGAGCGCTTTGAGGCGACAAGGAGCAAAAGTACATCCCTCTTGAGAATGGAGGCCGGATTGAAGTAAAGCGCGCCATCAGCAGCCAGAGCCCCAGCCTTGTGCAGCTCGCCCAAAAACTGAAACATGTGCATATGTTATGAATGTCACACAAGGTTCTGACATGCCCAGCAACGTGGGAAGGCGCGTGGCGAGAATACTTTGACTGCCAAGTGCCAAATTCAGTTTCAAAGACGGGTCCGAGATGCCTACTGTTTTGGGAGGCCCCGCGACACTGCACCCCCAGGAGGCTTGCTGACATAGAATGCGAGAGCATGCGTGCACATGTGAAAAAGAAGCAAGGGCTACGCCAGCCAATGTTGACGACAGGACGGGGCTACCAGACGATTGCTGGGCAGAGCATGGCCTTTACCTCAGAGCCTTGGACATGGCAGGGCTATTTGGGTGTGTGTTTTATGTTCATGGCTTGGTACCTTTTGTGTTGGTCTTGGATTGAAGGGGAGCCAACAAGAAGCTACCAATGTTGCGGTCCAAATCGCTATTTTGCCTCATCGCATGCAAGGAGCCGCCATCCCATTTGGGCATGGGTCAAAATTAAACCACCAGGGGACCGCAGGTTTTAGTCCATGTTTCCATTTACCAGGGTTCCATTTTGGGTACATATTTTTTTGACCCACGGCCATTTGGCCGAATGTGAGGTGGGCAGCTGCCCGCGAGATGCAGGCAGAACCTACCTCTCATGGGATCAGTGGGTTGCGACTGGCGAGTTTCGGCATGCGACAGGAATGGGGGCGCGAGGTCAGGCCTGGCAACCGCTAGGGCCTTGGCATTGTTTTTTTTTTCTTCTTCTGTTTTTTTGCAAACCACGTATATATATATAATACATATATATATATATATGCATATGCATGTATATTATTTGCATACATATATATACACATATTTCCATATGCAAACATACAGTCACATATATATATATATATATACACATCTCGCCAGCTGTTCCAAACCCTTCAAAAGAGTCCATGCTTGTTTGCAAACACAAGCACACACACACACACACCAGGCCCATCGGCCTTTTTTAGGGACTACGTTTTTTCAACACCTTTGGCAATCAGATTGGTAGCTTGGCGGGTGGGCTGGTTGCGTTGGGACAATGCAGAGCTGCCATTGGACGATGTGCACAGTGACCAACCAAATTTTGCTTGGTTTGAAGGGAAGCCAAAAGAGGGAAACAGCTGCCATCTATATACATGTTTCACAAATTGATAGACAAATTGCACATCTACACGCACACATATTTGGGGCCCTTGAAGGGAAACCCACGACTCAGCTGAAACAGACGCGTCTTGCGTCCGAGGCCAGCGGTTCAGCAGCCCTGTGTGATGGCCGCTGGCCTTAGAAAGGGCGCGTGAGCCGCGTCAGGTGGTTCAGTTCCTGCCTCCTGCCTGGCCTTGTGGTCATAGTGACTAGTAAGGCCACCTTACAGTTGGAGCCACCAGCCTCAATTGCGCCGAGGGAGCCTCAAAGTGGCCAACGACTGGAGGAGGTGGAGAAGGAATGCAAGGGATGTTGTGTGCTTAGTGTGCTTAGTCCGGAGGGTCGATGACCAAGCTCATACAGACAGGCCAGAAACCAATGCCCAGGCCTAACCAGCAGATCCAGCCGTTTTTTCACGTGGCCGTGCTCTCCAGTGCTTGTCAATTGAGTGAGGTTAGCGTTTTGCTTGTAATTTTGTAGCAATGAGGCACCGCAGCAGCAGATGGTTTTACAGCAACAGCCCCAGTTTACTAGTGGCGACTGCAGCCTTGCGCTTATTGCAACCTGTCCATGTGCACTTGTGCAAGGCCAGTGCAGAATGTCATGCCGCGCAGCTTAATGCTTTTGACACCGGCGGTTGCCCAACTTGAGAGAGTAAACGTTGTGAACGTTGATGTCGGCTGCCACGGTGCTGTACTATGAGGGTTGGTCGTTAGACTTTGATCGCTTGTTGACGAGTGCAGTCTTAGGCCACAACAAGCTCCTTTCATGCAGCACATGCCACCTCCAGTGTATGGGCATGGCACTGAGCCCTGTTGCTCACTGGAATCTCCGCAGACTGCTGTTGACAGTGGCCACAACGTGTGACTCCAAATGGCCGTTTGAGTGCACCTCGCGCTGGCCATTCTGGGACAACTTGCTTACTTTCTTCTTGCTTGCGTTGTGTGATGTTGTGCCTCGCTTGCCATGCCTTGGGTTTGACTGCTGCGTATGTGTCTTAGACAAGGCCTGGAGGTGCTTGCTGGCAGCAAGTACCGAATTTCGGAACTGCTGGCCACATCGGGGTTGCGCCCTCGAGCTTCGCGGGGGCCAATCGCATGTGTTGCTTCATGCTCAGGTCCCCCAGGTCCAAGCCTGGTATCAGCAGCGCGAGCCTTTGTTGCTGCAGCCCGGGAGTCATCACAGTACGCCGCATGGTGTCAGCATTCGGTGCTTGAAGGCCTATGCCGATGCCAGCCCCGGTGCCAGTGCAGTGCCCCTGACTTGTGGACCCATTGCGTGCCTTCAATGTGCGAATCACGGTGCAGTGCATGCCAGGCATCAACCAATTGTCACGTCCCCAGCTGTCAATGCGCGCCATTACGCGGGATCGAGCCAAACTCTTGCGGTTCGCTTCCAGGTGGCGCCATGGCACACAGAGGGGCGCGGGCAGACCGGTGCTTAGCTAGCATGGCGGAACATCAAAGAAGCTTGCAGCTTAAGCAAGGGCATGCAGTTATGCAGTCACAATGTGTGCGACTTGACGCAGGCATGAATTGAGCTGACGCCCTGCCAGCCACCGGCAGTGCACTGAGTTGTTGATGTTGAGCATGGTAGTCAGAAAGACTGCAAGGGTGGTACCATGCCTGATATAGCAGGACCGTCTTCCGATTTCAGGCCCCTCCGGCATGCAGGCATATCCAGGCTCGAGAAATGACCCCGTTTTGGAGCTCCAAAGCGAGGAGCTGAGTGTGTCCCATGGTTCGGCAAGAAGATGTGGACAACTTGTTTGCCAAACCTGGGACGGCTCGTGGCCAGGCTGCAATGTGCATTGTGCACACGCCCACACGCCCACACACGCAATGCTTGCATGAGACATCAAAAGACATGCCAGAGGGAGAGGCCTGTTTGCGCTGGCCAGTGACCCGCATGCAACATCCTGGGCACGGAATTGCGCACAGCTTGCGCGCGCCATACTTGCAGATCCATTCTTTGTTCCAAGGTCGTCATTGCATCCTGCTGAGTGCCTGCATAATTTTCGACGTGACGATCTATCCCTTGATGATTTGGTTTCTTTTCATTGACGTGCCCGCCTTCTTGCAGCCGCACCCTTAGTGGCATGCTTCTGATTGCAAAATGTAGCATTCAAGCATATTCAAGCATGCCAGCTCTTTCATGCCAAGGCCGCCACCTCAGGAGGAGGACGAGCGCATGTTTCTTTTCATCAAGCTTGGGGCCATTGACTAAGCCAAAGGTTAAACAGTCGCGTCGAGTTTTTCGTGTTGTGGCTTGCTGAGGCCGTGTGTGGCTTTACCTTTGTGGTCTGTATGTACCAAGTGATTCTCTTCGACTTGTTTGGTCAGCACTGCTCAAGGATGCGCAACTCAGCAGCCGTTGGCTTTTTTGTGTGGCATGCAGCTGTGTGCCAAGCAATCTCCATTTCTTGCCGGGAAAGCGGATACAGTCCAAGGCCGTCCGCTTGAGAAGCCCGTTGCTGTGACCGAGCAGGACATTGGCGCAAAGAGCTACGATGAACGGCCTAGGCGGTGAGCCTTGCTTGCTGTTGTCACCCTGCCTGCGTTGAGCGTGTGGTTGTTGTGGTTGTTAGATTGTGCGCATCTAGAGCACGTGCCGGGCAAAGCTTATGACTCTTGTGATTGAGCAAGGCAGTGCAAGTTTCAGCCCGGAGGCAAGACCTGGCTGCGTCACGTGCCCATTTGCAGGAGGGAGCACGGGGAGGGGCGGCTCTGGCAACGGGGGGAGGGGAAAAAATGGAGAAAGTAGGGGCCCTGAGGGGAAGCCTGTTGATGGTTGCCTGTTATGGTTTTTATGTTCATCTCAAACCTATTAACCACCTTATCCGTTTTTAAAAGAGGGTTTTTGGGGAGCTTATTTATCGTTTTCGTTAAGGTAATCATTTGGGTAAATTGTCGCCTTGTTCATTGTTGGGCTGGGGGCAAACATTTTTTTCATTTGAAAGAGGTAGCCCTTTTAGTAGTTATAATGTTCTGGGATGTTGGTGGTGCTTTTGTTTTATCCTATTCTTTGTTGAAGTCATATTCAAAATCTGATGAGGTTTCTATGTATTCTCTAATTTGTTTCTGTGTTGTTTGTTTGTTTTCTTTTGGTGTTTCTTCTCTCTTTGGTGGTTTTGGATTCTTAACATTATTGATATGCTTGTTTGTTCTTTCGTGCTTTGCTTTGTGTTGAGGGCTTACCATACATCTACAGTATTGACATTCAATTTTCCTTTGGATGTATTCTTTCCTATATGCTTGTCTGTGTTCTTTGTTTTGTTCATAATAAACCTTTGCCTTCTGCTGTATTTGTTCTTTGTGTGCTTCTCTATACCGTAGTTTATTTTCCAAGCATACATTGCATTGTTTTCTTCCCTCGTTGAACTTTTCTAACAATTGAAAGACTTTACATTTGGAACATTGCTTTTTGTCTGTCATTGGTCTCTATATGTTTAAGGGGTTATTTCTTTAGATAAGTTTAAGGGGTGTTATAGGTTAAAAGTTCAGTATAATTATAACATATAAGATTTTACATGTTATTATTATATTATGATTATAATTTCAGTTCAGGATAATAATCTAATTGGTTTGTTTTACTTCTTTCATACATCATTTTAAAAATAATATTAACATCTCTCACTGTATTCTGAACATTAAACTTTTTACTTTCAATAAATAATTTGATATTTTCTTTAACATCTTCTCCTTTCTCTTGACTATAACCCAACATCCATAATATATCATCAATCATGTCATATTTTCTTACTGATTTTGAGAAATGCTCTAACATAACTATGAGGTGGTATTTCATACACAGTTAAAAATATCAAAATGTCATCTTCAACATTTCTTTCATCTATTTTTTTAATCTCCAAAAATTTTCTATCATATTTTGATATCGTCTCCATCTTCTACAAGTTCTACATACATCTTCTTCACTCAGAGCATAATCAGTAATATTATTTACTATTCCATTAGGTAAATTCAATTTGTATAATTCCATATTTTCTTTTTTGAAGTGGCAACAATCATAGCATTTCTTATTAATATAACTGTTGATTTCATCATAGTTCATTTTTCTCTTAATATGTTATGCTATTTTTTCTTTAAGTAGTTTTGACTAGGGGGTTGCTGGTCAGCTGGTCTGGGTTTCAGGTTTAATTTAAATGTCTGTGTGAGCCAGACCTTGCTGTGCGAGCCAGACCTTACTGTGTGAGCCAAACCTTGCTGTGTGAGCCTGACTGTGTTGTGTGAGCCTGACTGTGTTGTGTGAGCCAGACCTTGTTACTTGAGCCATTCTCCCCTTAATTGGGGAGTTCGCCCCCCTTAATTGGGGAGTTCGCCCCCCTTAATTGGGGAGTTCGCCCCCCTTAATTGGGGAGTTCGCCCCCCTTAATTGGGGAGTTCGCCCCCCTTAATTGGGGAGTTCGCCCCCCTTAATTGGGGAGTTCGCCCCCCTTAATTGGGGAGTTCGCCCCCCTTAATTGGGGAGTTTACCCACCGTTTTCAAATCCAATGATATAACATTATAACCGAGCGACTTTGCTACTTTACCAACTGAAGAAGTACCACTAAATAGTTCTAATAAGTGCATATATTATTAGAACTATTTAGATATTAATATTTTCACATACATATCGTTGATGTTTTTCAGTTCTCTCGTGTCTTCTTATATCACATTTCCTGAAAACACCACCACATTCACATTCAATAGGTTCTTTTCGTTTTTCCAATATTGTTTCTTTGTTTTGGTGGTAGTGCTCCCTACTTTTATTACATATATGTTCTTTGTTGTTTTCTGCGTATTCCTTCCTCATATTTTGATAGTGTTCCTTATTGTCTTCCTTCCACTCATTAATTGTTCTACCTACCACACATCTATTCACACAATCATTATTTTGAATGTAATAACCTTCTCTTTTCATTAACTGTTCTCTGTTTTCACATGGGTAGTCTTCTAATAATTCAATCTTACAGTTGTCCATTCCATATTCATCAAACAACAAACGACAGTTTGTTTTATTATTCCATTGTTCTGCCTTGTTATAATTTTGTCTATGTCTTGCCATTCTTTGGCTCAAGCTTTCACAGGTGCTTCCGATGTAGCACTTATTATAACCAACATCTGTTATTTTGTAAATCTTTGCGTTTTTATATTTACTGCTATCCATTAATAACCTTAGTTATCTTTTCTTTAACGCAGTTTATAATGTCCATAAGGCAGTGAATTGAAAGCATCAATGTAAAACCTTTTATTTTCATAATTACTGAGTGATTGCTTGACTTGAGACATTGAAAATAATTGATGGTTGCGACTACGAATAAAATTATATGTTATTTCATGCTTTTTGTTTTGAAATAATGCTTCGTGGTAGTTTTGGTAAGTCAGTTCTTTCTTCACCTTGTGTTTCACTACACCTTTTGATTTCTTTTGTTCTTCTTCTTCACCGTGTATTGTAAAAGCATACGATTTAGGCTTTAACCCTATGAATTGTGTTATTGTTTGACCGTTGCACTCATCCTTGAAATAACCGAGTTTTTTCTTATTTGTTTTGTCATGGCAGGGGTGTTCAGGTGGATAATCGCTAAAGTCCATATATTGGTTTAATTCTTTGAAGTCCTTGTAGATGTCCTCAGTGAATGTTTGAATTACATAACTGTCAGTATCAGTATAAACCAGTTTGATGTTTTCATTGTATTTCTTCTTAAGAACATCATAGTAGAACTGATACATATGTAATTTACTGATGTCAAGGATTGTCATTCCTAAGAAAATCGGTTTGTCCAGTTTCAGCTTCGCTTTAGTTTTTTCAACTCCTACAAGGTTTTCATTAATAATAAATCTATTTTTGAATGTTGGATTATTAACACATTTTTCGTATCTAACTTCATTATCAACTAATTCAAAGTCCATATGATTTCGTTTGTCTTCCATAGTTTTTCCATACACAGAATTATTCATTAATTTGAATAAATCTTTCTCAAAATCGCTTTTGGCTTCTTTCCTTTTACCAGTGTTAAAATCAATCCACGGTTTCAACCATGCCCTCTGTTGAAATTTTATTATCCTATGGACTTTGGTCATTTTCATTCCCATTTTCAAATAATACTGTAAAGTCTTGATATGAACCACATATTTTTCTTTATCCTTTAGATTTAATATTAACTTACTCGTTTTCTCGTCCTTGGGACTTTTACCGTCATAATATATTTTGAAGACTTGCTTTTGATAGTCGGAAAGCATACTAACATTTACATTCATTATTTCAGGCGCTAGTGGATAGTCAGAGTGGAAGTCGTGCAATGTTTCGGGATATTCCAAATCAACTTCCATAATATAACCGAACTCATCGTTTTCATTCCATTTTTCAACACTGGGCGTTTTCTTTGCCCACTTGATATTTTTTAGCGGTAATTTCTGGGACATTGCTAAACCATACAAGTTATTAGCATCCAAGTAGCTAATATAATTTGATGGCTTGTTCTCATCATATGCTTCCCCCATATACTTATTATTTGCCACCGCTAATTTATGACTAACCTGACACATACCACCTCTCATTCCCTTTTCAACCATCTCAAACATTTCTTGGTCATGCAATTGTTCTATTTCAACACCAGTTTTTAGAAGCATCGCGTCCCATGCGAAATTTGGCAATGTGTAATAATGAGCGGGGTCTAAACCGTAGTATTCCATACACAAGTCTCTAAAGTTTTCAAATACATCGGTCAGTAGTAAAACATCAGTTCTTAAATACAAGTCGTGATACTGCCCGAGTGTTCTAATCCCGAAGTGCTTCCATACTTTCAGTGCCCTTTCATAATCTTTATCACTTACATGTTCCTCACTTAATTTACTGTAAAACGCTTCTTTCGGTGGTAAAGCCCTTTCCTTAAATCTTTCAAAATCATCAAAGTAGTCATAGGGATAAATACCCTTATCAGTCAATAAATCCAAATCTTCATCGGTTTTAACATACGGGTTTCTAACGCTGTATCTGAAATTGTTCTTCCAATTCTCACGCTTTTTATCATCCTCATATTTACTCAACCTGACCAACTTATCCAACGAAGACGATAAGAAACTGAAACTGTCCTTGAAACAAAGATTTTTAAAACCAAAGGTTATAAACTTTTCGCTGTTCTGAGCGATACATTCTATTTTAGAATTCTTGTTCAGTTCGTGAGCCTTGTTGATGATTAAGTGGGCATCATAGTTTTTAAGGTTATGAAGAAACACAGGGATTTTATAATATCTCATACTAAATCGTAGATTGCAGTCCTCGTGGGCGCAACCTCTATACTGCCCCGTAAAGTGGCAATGGTCCCAACACTTCTTTTCTCCTTCCTCAAATTTGTTTC